ACGCACACACACACACACAAACACACAAACACTAAACATCCATGCCCTGAGTGGGATTCGAACACACGATTAGGGTTTCCGAGCGAGCGAAGACAGAGCATGCCCTAGACTGCTCGGCTACCGTGACAGGCTGGTAGGCTTATACATTTGTAAAAAGTGTAAAATGTAATTTATGTAATATCATGTAAAAATGTAATATCATGCATAAATCTTCGTTGCTCATATTTTCCGTGAGAATCTCTAGCCCCGTGTTCACACCTCTCTCCGCTTAAGAACAACGGAATAGGTCATTCTTTAATTTAACAAGAGGCAAATGTCACGTCACTGCGAGAACATGTTCGTTACGTCTTCGCTGCACCGAGAGGATTATGGGTAAGTCAATATTTCTCAACCTTTCATCTCTGGGGACTCCTTCTTTGAGTAAACAGGCTCTGCAACTTCCCGCCAAACTCACTGATGAAAAGAAATTACGGGCAAACTGCTTGGGCTCAATTCTTTGAACAGTCGTAGAATTTTATTTTACAAAACAAATCTATGAATCCCCCACGTCATTTTTGCTGCTCTCTCGGCGTCGCGGCCCACCCTTTAAGAGACACTGAGATGGTATATCTTTCCATACTTAACCGAAGAACTCAGTGTGTGAGTCTAAGCCGTGCTAGCAGCTGTAATATCTCCGTCATCCTTGATAGTCTTCAGTTGTCCCATGTGAATTCCAGAAATTTCCCTTCAGATAAACCATGACGTTTCCTTCAAACCCCCTTTCTGCTAATTTTCTCAATTTATTCGATACTATAAAACATTTTCAATTCAAACAATATGATTAAATAGCCTGTAATAGAATCGACAATCTTCTCCTTCAATTTCAGTTTGATATTTTGTCTGAAATCCAAGCTGAGGAAATTTTCGCTATATCTGCGTCCAGGCCAACTCTGGCGCCCACAGAATATTCTGCCCAATGGATTCTAGGAATCTTCCCGCAAGGATAAAGAGGCCGGTGGTGGAGGCATAATTCAATTCCATCTAATAATCTCACGAATGCGTAGGGCTTTACCTTATGCTCCATGTCATGATGCTTGGGCACATCATCAACTTTCCTTCATCTCGAAATGCTGTATGTATCTAATGCAAACGAATCGCCACGTTCTAAGAAACAGCTGTCAGGACTGATAAGAATCGGCGGTTCCCAACTCTATCTGCAAGAACATCTGAACCAGGGATATTTTCATAGTGATAATGTGTTCTGCATGCATTTGGGGTTAACCAGTCAGGACTGCGTGTCCTGTATGGAATTTCTAGTTATTTTCTGAAGTCGTGCAGACAAATTTCAGTACATTGGCTCAAAGCAGACCATCACAGAAGACACTCTGCATTCATACGTTCCTTGCCACAACTAATTTGTCACCACATAATATTAACAGTTGATAGGGCGGTGTAAAATAATCTTCTTCAACTTATTATGTTCCCTAGGTGTTAATGGTGTCCTTGACAATATACTATTTCTAAATTATATATTACTTTGACTTTGTTCATCCTGGTCTGTCACACTAGCAATAGTATGAAAAATTATTAACTCTGTCCAGTGTGATTGATAAATGTTTCTTTTTTCTTTTTAATCTTTCATCCTTGATACGCTTTGGTTGGAGCGACCATATTCAGGAGGACATATCAATAAATGCTGAACTATTACAATGTCATTGGTCATTATCAGTACATACATACAGTACCATTACAATGTATTGATAATGGTCAATGACATTGTAATAGTAGTTTCCGCATGTATTGATATGTCCTCCTGAATATGGTCGCTCCGACGGAAATGTGTCAAGGATGAAAGATTAAAAAGGAGAAAAGCATTTATCAGTCACACTGGGCGGAAATGATAATCATTTATATTATGTATTACTGTTTCATATCGACACAGCGGGCAGGTTAATGTGGCTTAAATGCTTTGAACTTAGATTCATAGGTACGCGGTTTGAATCTCGACCAGTTTACCGATTATCCTCTCAGATGTCTCCATAGATTTCCCTGGTCTATCGAGATGTATGTTAGGTAGAGTACATTTAATAGGCCGCAACAGTCTCCTTCCAAATCCTTGCTTGCTCACAGTTCAATATCATCCGTCTTTCTCACTCGACTTTAGAAAATCTGTGTAACTGAAAACTCTTCGAATATATTGAGATTTAATAAATTCATATTGGTGCCAAGATGGGCAGTGTCTGGAGTGGAAACTGTAGCCCCAATAAGGAAAGCTGTCACATCTCTCCTGTAACATGACCTCCATACCGAATTTCATGAACATCGGTAAATTTGTAGACCTCTGCATATTTTTGTACGCTTGTACCATTATCATGGGACGGACAGACAATTGGAGAGCTGCATGCAGCTCAGATAAGAAAAAGAGAAATGATAGGTGTCTATTGTGTAAGATTTCGCGCCACAGATATTTTGGTTTCCGGTTATGCCTCTTCTTTTCCGAAATTTGAATGCAGAAAGAATGAGTTCCATGTCACAAGTCTTAGATTTATTTTCTGTTTTACCGATTGTGGTTTAACTGAACGATGCTGTTTAGACTGCATGGCGTCGGAGGGCAAGATGATTTGCAATGAAGCGGTCATGGCCTAATTTGAGGTAGTTTGGAAGGATTAAATAATAACACGAAAGAATTAAATCAGAATAGCCGATGTCCATGTCGAGGTTTGAAACGATCACTTCGGAAGTGACCCTCCTCGGTCACGAGCCTCCGAGTCGGTTGGTGTTATAAATGATGCTCCAACATGAGGTTCGTCATATGCATGTGGTATGTTACTGTTTGGGGGAGGTTGTTCACAAGAANTTTCCAGAAATTACCCTTCAGATAAACCATGATGTTTCCTTCAAACCCCCTTTCTGCTAATTTTCTCAATTTATTCGACACTATAAAACACTTTCAATTCAAACAATATGATTAAATAGCCTGTAATAGAATCGACAATCTTCTCCTTCAATTTCAGTTTGATATAGTCTGAAATTCAAGCTGAGGAAATTTTCGCTATATCTGCGTCCAGGCCAACTCTGGCGCCCACAGAATATTCTGCCCAGCGGATTCTAGGAATCTTCCCGCAGGGGTAAAGAGGCCGGTGGTGGAGGCATAATTCAATTCCATCTAATAATCTCTCGAATGCGTAAGGCTTTACCTTATGCTCCACATAGGCAACCATGTCATGATGCTTGGGCACAACATCAACTTTCCTTCATCTCGAAATGCTGTATGTATCTAATGCAAACGAATTGCCACGTTCTAAGAAACAGCTGTCAGGACTGATAAGAATCGGCGGTTCCTAACTCTATCTGCAAGAACATCTGAACCAGGGATATTTTCATAGTGATAATGTGTTCCGCATGCATTTGGGGTTAACCAGCCAGGACTGCGTGTCCTGTATGGAATTTCTAGTTATTTTCTAAGGTCCTGCGGACAAATTTCAGTACATTGGCTCAAAGCAGACCATCACAGAAGACACTCTGCATTCATACTTTCCTTGCCACAACTAATTTGTCACCACATAATATTAACAGTTGACAGGGCGGTGTAAAATAATCTTCTTCAACTTATTATGTTCCATACGTGTTAGTGGTATCCTAGACAATATACTATTTCTAAATTATGTATTACTTTGACTTTGTTCATCCTGGTCTGTCACACTAGCAATAGTATGAAAAATTATTAACTCTTTCCAGTGTGATTGATAAATGTTTCTTTTTTCTTTTTAATCTTTCATCCTTGATGCGCTTTGGTTGGAGCGACCATATTCAGGAGGACATATCAATAAATGCTGAACTATTACAATGTCATTGGTCATTATCAGTACATACAAACAATACCACTACAATGTATTGATAATGGTCAATGACATTGTAATAGTAGTTTCCACATGTATTGATATGTCCTCCTGAATAAGGTCGCTCCGACGGAAATGTGTCAAGGATGAAAGATTAAAGAGGAGAAAAGCATTTATCAGTCACACTGGGCGGAAATGATAATCATTTATATTATGTATTACTGTTCCATATCGACACAGCGGGCAGGTTAATGTGGCTGAAATGCTTTGAACTTAGATTCATAGGTACGCGGTTTGAATCTCGACCAGTTTACCGATTATCCTCTCAGATGTCTCCATAGATTTCCCTGGTCTATCGAGATGTATGTTAGGTAGAGTACATTTAATAGGCCGCAACAGTCTCCTTCCAAATCCTTGCTTGCTCACAGTTCAATATCATCCGTCTTTCTCACTCGACTTTAGAAAATTTGTGTAACTGAAAACTCTTCGAATATATTGAGATTTAATAAATTCATATTGGTGCCAAGATGGGCAGTGTCTGGAGTGGAAACTGTAGCCCCAATAAGGAAAGCTGTCACATCTCTCCTGTAACATGACCTCCATACCGAATTTCATGAACATCGGTAAATTTGTAGACCTCTGCATATTTTTGTACGCTTGTACCATTATCATGGGACGGACAGACAATTGGAGAGCTGCATGCAGCTCAGATAAGAAAAAGGGAAATGATAGGTGTCTATTGTGTAAGATTTCGCGCCACAGATATTTTGGTTTCCGGTTATGCCTCTTCTTTTCCGAAATTTGAATGCAGAAAGAATGAGTTCCATGTCACAAGTCTTAGATTTATTTTCTGTTTTACCGATTGTGGTTTAACTGAACGATGCTGTTTAGACTGCATGGCGTCGGAGGGCAAGATGATTTGCAATGAAGCGGTCATGGCCTAATTTGAGGTAGTTTGGAAGGATTAAATAATAACACGAAAGAATTAAATCAGAATAGCCGATGTCCATGTCGAGGTTTGAAACGATCACTTCGGAAGTGACCCTCCTCGGTCACGAGCCTCCGAGTCGGTTGGTGTTATAAATGATGCTCCAACATGAGGTTCGTCATATGCATGTGGTATGTTACTGTTTGGGGGAGGTTGTTCACAAGAAGGACATAGCACACTCAGTTAGGACCCACCTTGCTGCCTGGTGTGATGGGGGGTCGGTGGGCCCGGCTGTTGCTGTTGCTGCTGCTGACTGCTGACGGCGCTGCAACCACTTGTTTGATGATTCAGATCACGTGACGGATACTCTTCCATCCCTTCCCCCCTTCTCATGACCCCACCACTCCCAATCTCCATATCTGTCATTTCCCTTCTTTTCGCTATTCTGACACCCCCTACCACCCGTGTCTTTGGCACTCTGCTATTTTCTTTCGCTTGCTCTTCAAGAGTCCACTCGAAACTGCTCTTAGGTCCGACCTGAAATTGGATTTTGGTTCTTTTTTNTCGAATGCGTAAGGCTTTACCTTATGCTCCACATAGGCAACCATGTCATGATGCTTGGGCACAACATCAACTTTCCTTCATCTCGAAATGCTGTATGTATCTAATGCAAACGAATTGCCACGTTCTAAGAAACAGCTGTCAGGACTGATAAGAATCGGCGGTTCCTAACTCTATCTGCAAGAACATCTGAACCAGGGATATTTTCATAGTGATAATGTGTTCCGCATGCATTTGGGGTTAACCAGCCAGGACTGCGTGTCCTGTATGGAATTTCTAGTTATTTTCTAAGGTCCTGCGGACAAATTTCAGTACATTGGCTCAAAGCAGACCATCACAGAAGACACTCTGCATTCATACTTTCCTTGCCACAACTAATTTGTCACCACATAATATTAACAGTTGACAGGGCGGTGTAAAATAATCTTCTTCAACTTATTATGTTCCATACGTGTTAGTGGTATCCTAGACAATATACTATTTCTAAATTATGTATTACTTTGACTTTGTTCATCCTGGTCTGTCACACTAGCAATAGTATGAAAAATTATTAACTCTTTCCAGTGTGATTGATAAATGTTTCTTTTTTCTTTTTAATCTTTCATCCTTGATGCGCTTTGGTTGGAGCGACCATATTCAGGAGGACATATCAATAAATGCTGAACTATTACAATGTCATTGGTCATTATCAGTACATACAAACAATACCACTACAATGTATTGATAATGGTCAATGACATTGTAATAGTAGTTTCCACATGTATTGATATGTCCTCCTGAATAAGGTCGCTCCGACGGAAATGTGTCAAGGATGAAAGATTAAAGAGGAGAAAAGCATTTATCAGTCACACTGGGCGGAAATGATAATCATTTATATTATGTATTACTGTTCCATATCGACACAGCGGGCAGGTTAATGTGGCTGAAATGCTTTGAACTTAGATTCATAGGTACGCGGTTTGAATCTCGACCAGTTTACCGATTATCCTCTCAGATGTCTCCATAGATTTCCCTGGTCTATCGAGATGTATGTTAGGTAGAGTACATTTAATAGGCCGCAACAGTCTCCTTCCAAATCCTTGCTTGCTCACAGTTCAATATCATCCGTCTTTCTCACTCGACTTTAGAAAATTTGTGTAACTGAAAACTCTTCGAATATATTGAGATTTAATAAATTCATATTGGTGCCAAGATGGGCAGTGTCTGGAGTGGAAACTGTAGCCCCAATAAGGAAAGCTGTCACATCTCTCCTGTAACATGACCTCCATACCGAATTTCATGAACATCGGTAAATTTGTAGACCTCTGCATATTTTTGTACGCTTGTACCATTATCATGGGACGGACAGACAATTGGAGAGCTGCATGCAGCTCAGATAAGAAAAAGGGAAATGATAGGTGTCTATTGTGTAAGATTTCGCGCCACAGATATTTTGGTTTCCGGTTATGCCTCTTCTTTTCCGAAATTTGAATGCAGAAAGAATGAGTTCCATGTCACAAGTCTTAGATTTATTTTCTGTTTTACCGATTGTGGTTTAACTGAACGATGCTGTTTAGACTGCATGGCGTCGGAGGGCAAGATGATTTGCAATGAAGCGGTCATGGCCTAATTTGAGGTAGTTTGGAAGGATTAAATAATAACACGAAAGAATTAAATCAGAATAGCCGATGTCCATGTCGAGGTTTGAAACGATCACTTCGGAAGTGACCCTCCTCGGTCACGAGCCTCCGAGTCGGTTGGTGTTATAAATGATGCTCCAACATGAGGTTCGTCATATGCATGTGGTATGTTACTGTTTGGGGGAGGTTGTTCACAAGAAGGACATAGCACACTCAGTTAGGACCCACCTTGCTGCCTGGTGTGATGGGGGGTCGGTGGGCCCGGCTGTTGCTGTTGCTGCTGCTGACTGCTGACGGCGCTGCAACCACTTGTTTGATGATTCAGATCACGTGACGGATACTCTTCCATCCCTTCCCCCCTTCTCATGACCCCACCACTCCCAATCTCCATATCTGTCATTTCCCTTCTTTTCGCTATTCTGACACCCCCTACCACCCGTGTCTTTGGCACTCTGCTATTTTCTTTCGCTTGCTCTTCAAGAGTCCACTCGAAACTGCTCTTAGGTCCGACCTGAAATTGGATTTTGGTTCTTTTTTGTCTGCACCGCTGTTCTCTTACTACTGTCCCCACTCAAAATTCTCTGTCTCCCCAGAACCTTTTATCTATCTACTTAAGCTAGCCTCTTGCTTTATCTTCAAACTCCTCTCATCTCACAGGTAAACAAAGCTATACATGTAGGAGACCTTTCACCCGCACTCAGTAAATTGGACAAGACGTGTCACAGCTCACTAGAAGAAACAGAGGCCTTCCAGTGGTGTGGGTAGCTTGGAAGCTTGTGTCATGGTTCACTCCGACAAGACACCGCTCGCCCAGTGCTGCGGATGGTACACTCTAGACTGCCAGTCAGCTGGGCTCCGTGCCTAGCGTACACNCAGAAGACACTCTGCATTCATACTTTCCTTGCCACAACTAATTTGTCACCACATAATATTAACAGTTGACAGGGCGGTGTAAAATAATCTTCTTCAACTTATTATGTTCCATACGTGTTAGTGGTGTCCTTGACAATATACTATTTCTAAATTATGTATTACTTTGACTTTGTTCATCCTGGTCTGTCACACTAGCAATAGTNTGAAATTTAAGAACACGGGATGCGTGAATTATACGTAGTGTGATTAAATGTCTAAATGTGTTCATTCAACCGTGCCAAGCAATGTATATTAGTTTATTTATTTCACGCCCCTTTATGATCTGCGTAGTGTGTAGCGTCGAATGGGTGAAGGTGAGATACATACGAATGACTTGAGAAAACGCCGTCGTGGTTTAGTATATTCGCGTAGACTCTTCTGTCGAATATTTTGCCCAAGGAGTCTCAGGAATATCGAGAAGTAGGAGTCGAAACTGTAAGAAGGAATAAGGATCATTACTTCTAGGCATTCTAGGTGTCTTTGGGTCGCAACACTAAACAACAAAAGCATATATGTGTCATGGATTTGATGCTCTTAACTTTTGTGTCAATGTCAAAATATTCCTTTTTCTTTGGTAATTCAGGGAAATTATTGCGCTTTATTCGTGGACAAAAGAAGACAAATTTTATAAAAAAATCTGTTCGAAAATGACTAAGGCTTCTTATCCCATTAGCAAACTCTGTCCTTAAGAGCTTCGATGTTACATTCCATGGTCCTTGTCAGTACAAAAGTAATTACCTCTTAAAATTGTGGATTCAGAAACTAATTTCGCCCGAAATGCAATTCTTCGTCCTTAATTAAAATGCTATGAAAAACAATTTGTGCTTCACGAATGTAGAGAGAGACGTTTTAAATTCGGTGTTTACTATATTTGATTCTTTATCAGACAGAATAAGAATGGATTATAATTATAGCTAAGTGGAAAAATAAATTAACGCAAAATGTCAATAAATCACTTCTACAGAAAATAACACTGAAAATATCTGTAGACATCTTATTTGCTTCATATTCTTAAATAATCTCAATTAGTTTAACAGGTTCTATAAATGAATAAATATTACTATTTAATTTAGTGATCACTTTGCAAGCATAATTTTCACTGTTCTATGTATCTGCTACAATACACTTCCCATATATGAACACAAAATTTTACAAATATAATTTCAACACATAAGAATCAAACATGCATGGGTAGAGTCTTTGCGATGGATCAGTTCTCCTCTAGTATATCCTATGAAACATCTGAAGCATTAATGTTAGATGTAATGTGAAATCAGAGTAGTCCAGAAGGCCTAACCTCATAACAGCTGAAGAATATATGTATACGGTCCACACAGGAATTTTGTATGCGTTCTTGAACCATCTCCAAACCACACTCCCAACAGAAAAGTAGCGTTAGTCATTATTGTCAAAGAGAAATGTATAGAGTTTCTACACGTTACGAATGAAAGTTAATACAGAAATTTTATACTATCTCATGACTGAAACGACGGAATCCATTCATGGTTGAGATTCTGAAAATTTTCTCTTTATTCCAATTATTTCTGTTCCCATACATGCTTCAGGCCATGTGGTTCCCGGGTTAAAGCAGAATGAGCGTAGAGCTTAGCATATCCTACATGTAAAGCTGCGTTAAAGCTAAGCTTTAGTGGACAGAAGAAATGCAGACTAAAATGAAACGCACTCTTATGATTATTAAGATTCTATATCCATTTCTTGTGTATATATTCTATACACGGTTTCCACCATTTTGATATAAATGTTAGCTGGAGATTCATAGGAAATTTGACGTTATTAACAACTTAATTTTGTTTAGCGCCGGATGAGATTATTAAGAACTTAACATGTGATGGAATGGTGATGCTTGAAGGAGCTGTCTATTTAAACACACTACTCTGTAATTCGCATCTCTTTAATACAGTTTTGTTAATACAAATTCTTTCCATTGTTTTTTTCGCATAGCTTCTTTTCGTTTGTTAAAATATTCAACCCAACCCAAATTAAAAACCTGCAAAGCCTTGTTTTCTTGCAGTAATAGTGGAAATCAGGTTTAGAGCTAGTGGAAGTGCCGGGGTCCGAGCTGGATAACTTAAGAAGCGTTATTGTCTAAGCTAACCTGCTTGTTTTAAAAGTTAACCTAAAACTTCTTTTATTTTCTTTTATTTTTTATTCACTCCTTTACTGACAACCAGACTGTACAATCTATAAGTCAATGCTCTGATTGGTCTACAATTTAATAACTATTTATTGTACACTCTTCATGGCGTGTGCGGGATAAACATCCAGTGATGTTTTCCTCAGTTTATTAGCTCTGAAGTCCAACTTCTTTTGAGTCTTCGATTTTCATGAAGTTGCAGTAGTGGTTGAAGAAGTGGGTTAGAGTGATTTTCTAGTTTCTTGAAGTACTTGGTGCTATTTTCTCAGATGACTTTTGTTACGTAAATATTTTTCAAATTTCGGTAG